CTCTTTGATCTCTCTAACTTGAATTAAACATATTCTAAATTAATCATTAGCAGAATGTCTTTCAGGAAATTAGCTGAACTGCCTTTACAAATCACGACTTAAAAGAGCCCCCATTGCATAACACCGGCTTAAATATTCCATGTTTGCATCTTTACATGTTCTTCTAGAACGAGACTCCTGTCTGCCTGCAGGTTTTTGGGGTCAGCCTTCCGGGGTGCCCAGGCTGACGGAGACCACGGGCAGCTGCTGGCACCGGCGGGGATGCCAGGCTGGCACCGAGGGCTTGCAGGAATGCCAGCCCGTGCCAGGGACTGCCAGAACCTGCAGGTGCCTCCCAGCAGCCAGGGAGGGACCCTGCACCGGGAACTGCAGTGGCAGAACGGGGCAATGGTGCCCTCGGCCAGGGGGAGGGCACGGCTGGGATCCCGGCCTTGGGAACGAGCTCTTCCCGGGAGTTTTAGGATCCTTCCCACGAGGGAAACAGGGAAGGCTCTGTGGGCCGACCCTGCTGGGTTCTCCTGTGGCAAAGGCAGCCGTGTGATGCATTCTTCACTTCTCTAAGCTTCTCAGCCAAAATTAGGGTCATCCACAGATAGAAAAATAAATGTGGGGAAAAAAAAGAGATTTAAAAATAGCAGCTCATCTGCAAATGAACAGAGGGCTGGGTTCAGGCAGGAGCCTCCGGTGCCACCCCAGGGACAGCCTCGCACTGAGGATGAGCCCGGCTCTGTCCCAGAGTCCCGGCTGCAGAGATTGGTGCTGTTATGTGAAATACATGTTATAAAATAATTCGTGCTAAAGGAAATTAAAAACCACAGCGTTTTGTGTACTAAACCCAGTGCTGGGCAACAAGTAAGCTAAGGGACAGAAATCCAAAACGCCAGGAAGACACTGTCCCCTGAGATGTATATTCCAAGGGATTTTTTCATCTGACAAGAGCCCAGCTGGAGGCATTTTTGATAGGCAGCAGCAGCAGCAGCAACAAACTAAAGGCACTTTCTCTAGAAATGTACATTCCAAGTGATTTCTCGTCATCAGAAGCTTATCCTGGAGATTTTCACCTGACAGATGCCAGCAATTTTCCACGGGGAAAGCACAATAATATACTAAAGAAGACCCCTTCCAAAGCCCGGGGACTGTATAAAAATGGACCCATCAGAACTGAGCCTCAGAGGGGACTTTGGTGCCACAGAGGCTGAGCCCTAAATCTCCCTGAAACCCTAAATCTCCCTGACACTGCTGGCCTGGCGCAGGGTCGAACCGCCTGTGGCTTTTTTTAAAATTTATACTTTGATCATTTAATAAAGGTCTTTAATTATTATGTGGGAGCATTCATGTACAACAGTGGCACAGCCATTCCCCAGACCGTTCACCCCGTGCCAGGCGGGGCTGTTCCAGGCAGGAGTGGCACAGCACTGACCCCAAAGCCATGGAGACATCTTCACATCTTCACTCCCCCCAGCCCAGCCCTGCCAGCCCAGCACCCCCGTGCCAGAACATTGGAAATGCAGGGGAGCCCTGTGGGGAGAAATGCTGATGTCTGACTCCAGCTCAGAAGGCCGAATGAGTTCTGTATTATAACTATGCTATAATCCATTAATATACTATATAAAGGAAAATACTAAAATTACAAACTTACTTTTTCTAACTCCCAAATCTAACTCACAACTTGTGACCCCCTCTGAGAGCCCAGCCCCAGGTGGGTTGGATTGGCCACCAGGCTCAAACCATCCTCACCAGAATCCAGCCAAGCAATCACCCCAGGTAAACAATTCTCCAAGGACATTCCATGTGGGAAAAACAAGGAGCAGAAATAGAAATTGTTTTCTCTTTCATTCCTCTGTGCTGCTCTATGAAGAATCCTGAGAGAGAAGAATGTGCCTGGCACATCAGCCCCAGCCCCACCTCAGCACTGCCATGCTCCAGTGCCCCTTCCCCCCCCGAGCTCCAGGGATTCAGCCCAGGATTTACAGAAGCAATGGGAGCAGCTGAAAGTGGCTCCTTCCTGCGTTATTGGGGTTGCAAATCTCCTTGTGGGCTGCCCACTCGTCCCTGCTTCCTGAGCTTAGGAGGAGATTATTTTTTTAAAGGAAACTGTCAAAAAAAAAGTCTATTTTACAAAGTGAAGTTTAAGCTTAAGTCTCTTTGGCAGAAACATCTGAGCTGGGAGAGATCAAAGACCCTCCAGCTCCTCTGCCAACATGAGGAGATTTTCGCCAGCAATTTGACTGCAATATTGTGGTTTAAATGCTTCATTTCCCAAGTTCAGCACGGTGCTGTAGGAGCCCGGGATTTATCATCCCTCGGACAAAGTTAATGTTGGCTCTGCCTCGTGACCGACAGCTCCCAGCCCTCACCTGAGCCAGAGCCTCGCCGAGCCCTGCAATGAGGAGGAAATGCCCAAAAACTGGCCTGAGAATATTCATTTGGTGGCCGGGAACAAGCAGCCCTGGAATCCAGGAGGAGAGCTGAGCAGAGACCCCCCCGCCCCAGGGAGCCTCTCCCAGGGGGGCTGGGGGCTCCCCCAGGGCAGGGGGGCTCCCCAAGGGATGGACGGGGCTG